TGCATTATATACTGTCCTAAACTAGAGCCTGGGCAGACTCATGAAATAGCAGGAAACTGTCTTTGTCTTTGAAGCACTACAGTATTTTATTTTTGTGTCTGTTTAAATAATTGTGCCAGGAAATGCATCTTATACAGCCACTCTGGATAAGCAATATATTGTACTGTAAATATAGCAGTTGCTGTCACAACCTGGAGTTAAAATGTCTGGATGGTAACTAGTGCCTGTCTAATATACTTTGGAAAAGAGCATAGGCCTTCCTCCTATGGTGCTGTTACAAAAAAATTATTACCTGTTTTGATTCCGGGAAGTTGTGAAATATGGTGGACAAAATGTTGCTATGTCACATTGAGATCCAAACAGTGGGTTTTGGTTTCTCTGTAAAGGATGTCCTTAAAACTCTTGGGGTTTGGCTTTCAATGTAATTGTAAATAGGTGAAACTGTCTGTGTGTTTGTGTCTGAATTCCATGTGGTGGTCCTAGGGCTGAGAGGGAGGGAGAGGGGATGCAGTCAGGTGCCACTAGTTTTTGCTGACTGAAACTCACTGTAAATTAGTGAATGGTGTGAATTGCAGCCTGGCTGAGGTGTTGGAAGTGAATGAAAACTATTGGGAACAGCATTGGCCTCATGGGAATGACTGAATAAATGCAATAAAAGGCTCATAGTCAACACTATTACTTTGTTCATCACTCATTACACATTTTTTGTTAAAAACTTGAGTACATGAATTATGTAATTTGTAAAATGATGCTGTAGTGGAGACCTTGCTACAACACTATTAAAAATCTTCTCTCTTTGTGCAATGAGGTTTGTAGAATAGTGAGATTCTTTTGGATGTTGAATCTTCCTGATGGTGGGAATGCTGGGGTGGTGTATCTCACTGTGAGCTGCTACTTGGCTCTTTGCATAACATGGCAGTTCTGTATATTCTTTTGGCTAACTGTAAATATAAATGTTTCATAATAGCTTAGTTGAATTTTTGAGGTACAGCTGTTTGTGTGAGATTAGAAAAAAAGTTTATTTCTAAGAACTTGTAAAAAAATAAAGTATTTTCAATAAAATTCCCTACCTCACCTCTATTGTGCAGAAATTATCCCATTTTCCTATGTTTAATTTTTCCAACTTCATTAGTAAACACTGAGATCTCCTGTCAATTATTGGCAAAGTATTGCTGGTTGTCATCAAATCACTCAAATAATGGAGTGCAGGAAAATCTGAACTCTTCTTTCCTTTAATTCTGTTACATTGATCAAGTATTTGGTACCTGAAAAGCAAATTCTAGACATTTTGTGCTACCTTAAGCTGCTCTTTCTCTGTACCTTGGGGGCAGAGCCTGTGCATGGTAGTAACAGTGTGTGATGGTGGAGGGGATTTTCAGTATTATTCTCTTTTTAGCAGTGAGGGGGTGGGTGACATTGCTCCACCATGCATTCTTCCTTACACCTTACAGGAAAGGGTTCCCAATCCTTGTTTTGCAGGGAAAGTGGCTGGACAAAGACTTTGCTTTCTTTAATCTGATGTAAATGCACACAAGCATAATTAGTTCTAAAAATTTATGTCTTGAGCCTTGGAAGTTATGCCAGACTGAACTAGCTAGTTAATTCCTCCTTTCTCTGAAAGGCTCAACTCCTTAAATCTTAAAGAGAGAATTAGTGCCAGGAGTGTTCTCTCCCATTACTACTGGGAGTGACTGTTTCTCTGGCTTCTGAAGTGGATATAACAAATCCAAAGTAAATTGATAACCTTGATACTCAGTGCTTGGGTTTGACTCCCCTGTGTTCCTGCACTTGGAACAGCAACATTGGTGTTGCCATAGTTCAGGCATTGTGTTCTTTGACAACACCTCTAAAATTTCTTAGCTGTCCCGTGGTGCAGGTCCCTGTGGGAAGGGACAAACGGGAGAGAAGGCACTGGAGTGTGTCCTGGGGGCCCTTCCTTGGGAGAACCCTGGTTCTTTGCCTGTATGCAAGAGCCAGAGCTTTGATGGCAGTGGTGTAGAAATTGCATGGGTTCCCACTGAGCTTTGTGGAACAGCACTAAATTTGAACCTTAATAATCTCCAGAGACTCTTGTGTTTTCGGGGACCAGGCTCTGCTTCCTTGGGAAGAGAGGCAGATGGGTGCATTTTTGGATGCAAATTTTTACATGCTACAAGTGCAGTGTGACAGCTGGGTTGGCCTGCCTGTGGCCCCACCCTTTGAGACGTGAGCCATGGAGAAACACTGGCTACCCCTAGAGTCATGGACAGGGCTGTGTCTTCAGCTGCTGAGATTTAAGCCCCAAATCCTGAGGAGACCTGCAGTAACAGCAAGTGCCTGGCAGGCTGCTTGCACTGCAATGGGTCCTTACTGATCTCAGAAAGGAAGGCTGTAGCCTTTAAACCAGCAAAGCTCTTACACTAAATAATGAAGCAAAGTGTGACCCTGCTCACTGAGTAACTCAGTCTTATGAAAAAAAAAAAAAAAAACAACCAGTTTTCAGGATTTCACATTCTTTCCCCTTGTTACATTGGATACCTGTAATTAGGCACCTGGATTTTGGTGTGAAAATCTCTGATGTCATCACGTTAAGATATATGCAAAATTAGACTTGTTTCTAGGCTGCTCCACCACACTGGCTCAGCCAAGCAACCCAAGGCTCCCCAGATTAACACAGGGCTTGGTTTGGCTGTGCTGGGCCCTGAGCTCTGCTGCAAGCACAGCTCTGATTCAACTGAAATACCTTTGTTGCAAGTGCTGGCCTTAAACTGACACCTCATTCTTGAAGTCTGGTTAAACAAAAGCAAAAATGTGCTTTCACATTTGGATTAAAAACTCAGGTTCAAGTTTTACAAACCTCTAATGACTGTTTTGAGTGTAATTAACTGGATTAAACATGACAAATCACAAATAACTGGTAACCTTAATATTGGAGAACCCTAACAAGAGATGTTTTGCTTGTAAACTGTGCATAAGAAGGGGGGTTTGTAATCCTGACCTTTCTTTAATTAATTATATACTCTAGAGCATTCCCATTCTTTCCTTGCTTATGACTCTCATCTCAGTTTCATTTCATGCTAAATAAACCCTCATATTTACTTTGCAGCTTTGTTGAAGAATCTACCTTAATCTGAGAAGAATTAGTACACATCATGGAATTACGTACATCCCACTAGAGCTCACATGCCCAGGCTCCTGCCTTTATTCTGCAAGGTACTTTAACGTGAAGATACTTTAACGTGATGTTGCCATGGATGTCTGGCATGAGCACCAAGTGATATTCCTCAAAAAAGGACTGTTAACTGCTTGAACTTTGAAGATTACTGTGATGTTAGGATTACTCTTATACTGGCATATTGTTCTGTCATTGTTATGTGACATTATACCCACAGAAACCATTAATAAAGAATTTTGCTAGAAATACTGATTTCTCTTTGCTTTTATAAAGTTTAGACAACCCTCTGAAGTCAGGAGGCTGATGACTACTGGAATAAAATAAAGTTTGAAAGCTATTTAAGTAACTAAGATGTTCAGCACTCTGAGGAAAGTTGGATTGATAATGTTCACATTACATCAGAGCTGACACTGACGTCAGTGTCTTGGATTCTTGAGAGCCCAGCTCTGAACAGTTGTAGGGCTGAGTTTTAGTGCCTCTCTTCCTGGAGCCTGGGTGCTCACAAAGTCTAAAGATTTACCCCATTTCGATAGGAAGAAGCCAAATCAACAAAAGGACATTCTAACTACTAATATCTGCTTTTTTTGCTTTATTAATACTTAATAATGCTTTTTAGATTTTGTTTAATTTTGTTAGTAGTAGCTAGTTCTGCTAAGTGTAAAGACCATTGGAATGCAGAGGGGCTCTGTTCTGTCTTCCAGTCACAGATAGTGCTCACTCCAGTGGTCAGAGAAACACTTCATGTTTTCAGTGATACCAGCACCCCATGGGGACGGTAAGGAAGACAGAGCCAGACTCTGCAGTGTAGCAGTGACAGGACAAGGGACAACAGGACCACTTGACCTGTCGGATAGACTTCAAATATAAAATCACTTTTCCCATGAGGGGGTTAAAGACTGGAGCATGTTGCCTGGAGTGGCTGTGGAGTGTCCATCCATAGTCAGACTCAAAGTCAGTGGGACGAGGGCCTGAGCAACCTGCTTCAGTCAGCCCTGCTCTGAGCAGTGGGGCTGGACCAGAACATCTCCAGAGCTCCTTCCTACCTCAAACTTCTGGGACCTGAAAGTGCCCATAAAATGCACTATTTCATTTAAAACAGGCAGTCCCAGGGTTTAGGGATAATTATCTAAATAATTCTCTAGATAATGATGAAATCATTATCTAAGTATCTTGTGGGGGTACAGGGCCTCAGGAACACAGGGCTGATCAATGTATGTAAAAAACTTACTCACCAGCTAGAGACTGAAGTGCCCATCCAGTTAAACAAAAGGGCCCAGATGACTGAATAAAAGCCCCAGTACCTCTCATGCCAGTAGATTGTCTGAGGTTCCTGTGGGATCCTCACACCCATTACTCATCTCCAAAGTTGCAGAGCTCTCTGCCCATAGCTCTTTCCATAGGGTTTTACAGACATTCCAGCTTACCTGGCCTGTTTCTTGCCAGTGATGGTGACTTTATTTTCCCTTTAAGTCTCTCCAAATACAACACAACGTGGCCTTGTGTTCACAGTGAAGGACAGGCAGTGCAGAGCAGGTACTCTTTAATCACTGCTGCCTCATAACAGACTCCTTGAACACGACTGCTCCTCAGAATTTCTGCTGTCACACAAAGTCCAGTTCCTTCTGGTCTTTTCTCCACAACTGAAAATCTTTTCCATGGAAAATAAACACTCATTTGGCAAGAGCTGTGAAAAATTCACTGTCCTCCTTTCACAAAGGGATGGTCCAGCAACTGCAGAGCAGAAGGCCGTTGGTGCTGATCTCTGCATTGAAGGTTCCACAAATCAGTATATAAAATTAATATGTATGCCTGTGATGTAATTGTAAAATCTTAATTGCAAAATTAGCCTTTATTATTATTTATCCATTCACTACTCACTTTTAGGGTTTTTTTTAATAAAGTTGATAGAAAGGAAGGGAGGCTCGGAGGGAAAAGACTGTTGGAATTTATGAATTACAAAATTGAAATATTTTATTATTAAAGAAATCATTACTTATTCCCCTGAATTCCTTCCTGATTTGGCTATTTTAGTTGCACCAAAAATGTATTTAAGAAAGGTGATAATTATCTGCTTGAGCCTCTGTCAATCACGTTGTCCTCTCCTCTCCAATCAATGTCATGAATTTTTAGAAGCCCATGGCTTTAAAACCAAACAAATATCACAAAAATAATTCTTATAATGTGTGAATGCCAGTGGTTTGGGTTTTTACAGAGAGAACTTCATGTTTCTAGTAACTATTATGTTTCAAACAAGTTTCCTGGACTGGCAGTGATAATAAATTTTTCCACTGCAGAAGACAATAATTAAGTGAAATTTCTTCCATTTAGAATACTGTCCTTAAGACAATTTGTCTGACATAGACCAAACTCAAACAATGCTGCAACAGCAAAGCACATCAAAGAAATTTATCAAATGTTTTGTTCAAAACTCAACGGTGCCATGTTTCTGCATGAAAATTACAGGGAAAGTAAATGACGAGTATAAGGCCTACAAAAAGAGAATCTTTGAGGGCTTTTTTATACCATTATGAAGAGTAAAGCTCTTTTATATATACTTTTATCTAAAGGCTCTCCTGAAATGCTGAAAAGCCTATGTATTTACAATAAAGTCATATGTCCCATAACCTAAGGTCCCATGAGCCACCTCCAGAACACAAACCAGCTGCATCCTCCCTTTCCCACTCAGCGGCTCCGTACCTGGTTAAGCAGGCGCGCACAAACTCCACGGCAGCGCTGGAGAAGCGCTCGGGCAGGGCCGGCATCAGCCCCCGGTGCGCCCCGATGTAGAACATGGCCGCCACCCTGCCCATGGAGGCCAGAGGGGGTTTGCCTGTGGCCATCTCGAACACGGTGCAGCCGACGCTCCAGATGTCCGATTTCCTGCCATAGCCGGAGTCGGTGATGACCTCCGGAGCCATCCAGTAGGGAGTGCCGTGCACGGAGCGGAGCAGCTCGCTGCCCGTGCCGCTAAGGCTGGCCCGGGCCAGGCGCCGGGCACAGCCAAAGTCAATCAGCTTGATTACCCCGGTGGGCATGAGCATCACGTTATTGCCTTTGATGTCTCTGTGGACCACACAGTTGTCGTGTAAGTATGCAACCCCTTGTAGAATTTGCTTGGTGTATTTACGCAGGACAACTTCTGGCAACGGGCCGAAGCGATTCAGAATACTGGAAATGGAGCCACCAGGAACAAACTCCATGAATATGCTTAAAATGTTGTCTTCCAGGCAAGTTCCTAAATAAGTTACAATATTTGCATGCTTCAACGTCTTCAAAAGATCAACTTCCTCATGGAACTTCTGATACTCCTTTTCTGTAGTGAGTTGATCTGATGTCTCCAAAACCATCTGTTTTACAGCTATTAACTGTCCCTGGCTTGTCAGACCACAGTACACCTACAGTGAAACCAGCACTTATCAAAACAAGACACGAGACTAAACTTGTGTATTTACTTATTTTAAATAGAATCTTTGTGCTTGTCATGTTTCATATCTCCCTGTATAATCTAAAATATTTACCCATTTGTTGAATAGGACAACAGCTATTTTTGAGATAAAGTGTAGCTCAATGACAATCAACACATCTCAACATATTCACACATTAACTTACCGTGCCATAGGCTCCCTTTCCAAGGACTTCTCCTCTTGTCCAAATGATAGGATCTTTGGTAGCTAAACTGCTTCTTGGGAATTTAGTAGATTCATCGAAGTTCAGAAGGCCATTTTCTTTATTTGAAGCCAAAAAAGCTTTACTGCAATTCTGCTTGAAAGACGATGGTCGGTGTGGGGAAAAAGCAGAGAGGAAAAGACAAGCTTCATTTGGTCCCCCATTTTTTCATAAGGAGCCATTTTTCCTGCTATGACTTTACTTTATATATATATATATATATATATATATATATATATATATAAAAATTGCCCAGGTCATTGATAGAATTGGTATACTAGGTAAAAGTGTATAAATATTTTCAAGTATAAATCACAACAGTGCATAACCACAACATCTTCTTCCATTGGCACCAAGACAGAAGAGCACTTAAAAGAGCAGGATACACTCTCTTTTTTGGTCTCATAGATACAGTTTACTAAGCTGAAGGGTGAATATGGCTATCATCATGCTCTAAGTAACACATGTTACACAATTCTGATGAAAATAACATGCCATCACTTCCCAGGAAGAAGAGACTGCTTCAGAAAGATGGCAATAGTCATCCTATCTAGTTATGGGTTTCCTTGGGAAGAAGTGAGAACAGAGCTCTAATTGGCATCTGTGTCTGCAGAAGAACAAGGGAGTGTATCAATATGTAGTGAAAGACATTTCCTTACAAATTCGTAATTTATATGGACAGAGAGCTAACAGGACCAAGAAGAAGCAGTACTGGTAGAGAAACACCTGAGTAGGTGAAGGCATGCAGCTGAATTTGGGGCCAAAATCTGAGCCTTCTGAGCTTGAAGTTTTGATTAAGCATCAATTAAAGTGAAAAAGTCTGTCTGATAAACAAATACTTATGGTTCATATCTATAAAAGTATCTAGTTGCACTCAGAGACTTAAGGTAATTGCCCTTCTGGATATGCAAGACTATTTGTAGAGTCTTTTCATATTCCTGTCCAATTCTCCAGCTCTTGCCTTGCTCAAAACCTTTTTATACAAGGTCTTCAGTTAAAACAGCTTATTCTCTTTATTCACTACAATTTTTCAATCTATATAAGCTTTGGCAGCTATTCCCATCATGTCCTAGTACCTTCTGGCTTGTGTCCTGACATGCAGCCTTTAACACAGATATATTCAACAGAGCACTGGAAAAATCAGTGGGCAGCTGGCCCAAGGAAAGGAGACTTGATAAATCTCTTTAATAAGCATATATTTCCCATTTTTCATCCAAACTTGTGTGAAGCATCACTCAAATTAGTTAGCAAGTTATAAGAAGAAATTACTTTTACCTTCTCTAGAGCACTATTTATTATTGCTCCAGCTCCATTCATCATATTCTCCTCTTCTTCACTCTGTGTGTTTTTGTATTTTAGAACATGTATTTTTTGTTCTTGAAGAGTTTATGTCTTTTTCTTCAAGCATTAGCAATTCTTTGGCCAGGCAACAAAGCAACTCATCAGTCACATCCTTAGTATCTGACCAGGAAGAAATGTTTTGACTTGTCTTGGAACTGGAGCTTTTGGCATTTTTTCTCCAAATCACTGAAGCCTGAGTCAATTCATTTGCCAAACTACTGTTTTGAGGTGTGTTTGCA